AGTTTTCTCAAAAAAAAAAAAAAAAAAAAAAAACAAAAAACAAAAAACAAAAAAAAAGAGGAAATTGGAAATTGGGAAATTCAACAAAGCTTCATCAATTGAGGACAAATATCAATCTCAAAAGCTTCGCACTATCTTCATCAAGATAGTGTGAAGCAAAATCAATTTATGGTGTCAACAAAAGCTTCATCAATGGAGGACAAATATCAATCTCAAAAGCTTCGCACTATCTTCATCAAGATAGTGTGAAGCAAAATCAATTTATGGTGCCAACAAAAGCTTCATCAATGGAGGACAAATATCAATCTCAAAAGCTTCGCACTATCTTCATCAAGATAGTGTGAAGCAAGATCAATTTTATGGTGCCAACAAAAGCTTCATCAATGGAGGACAAATATCAATCTCAAAAGCTTCGCACTATCTTCATCAAGATAGTGTGAAGCAAGATCAATTTATGGTGCCAACAAAAGCTTCATCAATGGACGACAAATATCAATCTCACAAGCTTCGCACTATCTTCATCAAGATAGTGTGAAGCAAAATTAATTTATGGTGCCAACAAAAGCTTCACCTATAAAACTTCAACCCCAAAGCTTCACCTATAAAGCTTCAACACCAAAGCTTCACCTATAAAGCTTCAACACCAAAGCTTCACCTATCAAGCTTCAACCCCAAAGCTTCACCTACAATACAAAATTTCAACACCAAAACATATAAAAGCTTCACACACTCTTCATCAAGATAGTGTGAAGCAAAATCAATTCATGGTGCCCAACAAAGCTTCAACCTCAAAGCTTCACCTACAAAGCTTCAACACCAAAGCTTCACCTACAAAGCTTTAAAATATATATATATTATTTTTAATTTTAATTTTTTCGGAAATTCAAAAATTAAAAAATCCGGATATTTGAAAATTCAAAAAAAAAAAAAAAAAAAAAAAAAAAAAAAAATTGCCTAGGCCTCCTCTTCTTTGGGCCTAACAACTTTCATAACAAATATATATGAAGAAGGAGTTTTGGGCTACCACTTAGAAAGGAAATGCCTCATTCGTCAACTCCCTCGACCAGAGACTTGGGGGACTCCTACCATATGCTACTGCACCTTGATACTCGGAAGTCTCACGACCACTCAGTGACTTGGATTTTTCAAGTCTCCAAACGAGAAGTTTTCCTCACTCGGGAAATTAAGGGAGCACTACCTCAACCTACATGCCTCACTCACAAAGTTTTAACATACAAGCTTCAACAAAAAGAAAAATTCAAAGAACTTAGTGAAGAAGGCCTTGGTGTATTTAACACAATACGTTGAAATGAAGCAAATCTTGTTTATTGATATTTCTGATAAGTTACAAATATGTACATATACATGAATCAAAATAAACAAACAAGAGGGAGCCTTCACAAAGGTTGCTCAGGGGAAGTCTCAGCAGTCGGTAGAGCCCCAGAAAGAGAAAGCACCGGAGGGTGGTTATCCGGAGCCTCAGTACTGGACAGAACCCCAGAAGGAGGAGGCATCGGAGGTTGATCATTTGGAGCTTCATTACGCGGTACAGCCCCAGAAGACGACGGCAATAAATGCCTTTGGAACGAACCCACAAACCGCTGATGATCAAGTAAAACATGACCATCAGATTCCTTCATCTGGTCAAGCTTTCTCTTCATGTTTGTAGCATAGTCATGTGCGAGCTGGTGCAACTGTTTATTCTCATGCTTGAGCCCTCTAATCTCTTGTTTGAGACTCATCACTTCAGCAGTCAATGATTCAACTTGGCGGGTTCTAGCAAATAGGCGTTGGGCCATATTAGACATAGAACCTGCACACTGAACACTAAGAGCCAGAGAATCCTTAACAGCCAACTCATCAGACCGTTTGGAAAGTAGTCTGTTATCTTTGGGAGTGAGAAGGTTCCTGGCCACCACCGCAGCGGTCATATCATTCTTCATCACAGAATCCCCAACGGTAAGAGGACCAGTAGGGGATATGAAGGATGGGCGCCATATGTTGTCTGGAGAAGGCGTGGCTGTCTCTTCTCCAAGGTTCAAGTCAAAACGACAGTCGGAGGGGCCAGACATTTTCAAAGGTGTTGAAGAAGGAAGAGGTCAGACAAATCAAGATCTTAGAAGTGCAAGAAGGGAGCTTCTACTGGTGGAGATTCAAGTGTGTTGTGAAACTTAATGCCAACCTCTATAAAAATCTGCACTTGACGGAGCTTCAGAAATCGAAGAGGCGTTTGCTTTCTCGAAAGCTGAGCTGCTCAGAGACCACGAGGGCCGATCTCAGAAATCGAAGAAGCACCTGCTTTTTCAGCCTCGTCAGCACCTGTCACATGCACACTCAACTTTGCGGAAATTATGGGCAATCTGTCGAAGATTTCTGGTGAAGTAGAAAGCACGTGAATCTTACTGTTCAATCACCACTCTCCACACGCACCATCAACTCCTCGGGTACCACATAAAACTTTGCCAAAGATCTCTGACAAAGTTTAGGCACGAGAATTTCGAAGTTCCAGCTACCCTACTATTACCCACAAGGGTAAAGGAACAGCACCACTGCTTGACAACTGGAAAGTCCCTATGTGTGTCGACCTCCGTGTTCTGTGGCAAGACAGGCTGGCAAGAACGTCCAACCTTTACTCACATTCGAGAAAAGACTCCCAACATAATTACTTTCTCAAAAACTGAAGCGGCACCGCTTTCCGAATCTCGAGAGCCAGATCCCCAACAGGATTGCTTGTTCGAAAACCGAAGAGGCACAGCTCTCAGAACTTCGAGAGCCAGATTTCCTTAGATAAAGCTTGTCTGTAATCTTCACACGCAACATCAGCTTTCCAGATACCACATACCACTTTTTCAAAGTGCTTTGACAAAGTTAAAACACGTGAAGCTGGCAGCTCCCACTACATTGCTGTGACCAAGAAGGGTAAAGGAATAGCATTACTACTTGTTATTGGGAAATCCCTATATACATCGACCTCCCTCCTCAACGGACAGGCAAACTTGCAAAAATGCTCAACCCTTTCTCACATTCGAGAATGCACCCTCAACATAACCTCTCAAAATACTCAGCTTTATTTCCCCCCGATAATACCTCAGCAAATAAGCCACACCAAGAACAAGAGTATCTCATATCATCAGGGTCGAAAGCAAGAGTATCCCATATCATGCTTTCTCCCTGTCCTTGTCTTCGTCCTTGTCCACACCTGCAGGACAAAGAGAAAGAAAGCAGTCAGTCGGAACCTGAAATCAAACCTCCAATCTGGAACTGACTGCCTGAGACCTTTTCCTGGTTGCTTACTTAGCATTGCTCTCGAGAACTCATCCTCAACTGCTGTCAAGGTCATGAATTCCACCGGCACATACCTCATGACAGTTGATCAGATATTGGCTCTTTACACTGAAGCTGCCAAGCGTGGATGAGTCATTATGAAGGAATGTTCTGAATGACCATTTAAATGCAAAGGTTGCACCACTTCTGCCATGCAAAAGATTGAAGCAGAAGGTTCAACGGTGAGCTGAAACAGATCACTACAGCACGACACATTTCCATACCACACTCACTATTTCGTCAACAGCAAAAGTATCCCATATCATCAAGGTCAAACGTACTCTAGATTTGATGGACTTGTTTTGACCCTCAAATTCTTGAGTCGGCCTTATACTCTGAAGGGAACCAGAAAACCCTCCAGCACAGTTCAAGAATAAGCCTGTGGAAAGTTACATCTTCAAAAGCAAAAGTATCTCATATCATCTCTTATCCATTTGCTTCTCCTTAATCTTGTTGCTGTTTACGACACAAGGAGAAGGAGAACAATCAACCGGAAGCCGAAGTCGAACCTCCGATCCTGGGTTGCTTGCTTGGAAGTTTGACTGCTTACCTTGTTTGTCACCTCTTTCGGTAGATCTCCTAGCTCGGCGACTTGGGGGACTCCTACTATAGGGTTTGTATCGCACTTGACCAAGCCCGAAACTACAAGTAAGCTTCAAGTGAAATTGATACATTACTTTGTGCATCTTTATCGGTTAAAGATACCACCCATGGATGGAGGAAAAGTACTTCTAGAGAAGATGCCACATCTACATATGAGACAGATAAGGCACGTGAAAATGATACCACACTTCAGTACTTAGAAGTTTCGTGATTACTCAATGGCTTGGATCTTGCAAGTCCCCAACCGAGAAGCTTCCCTCACTCGGGAACTTAGGGGAGCACTGTTTGTACCATACTTGACCAATCCCGAAACTACTGAGCACCGGTCAACGTTATACCATCAAGGACCCAGAAGAGCTTCCCTTCAACCAGGAGGCCAATCACAATGTGACACGTGTCGACATCAGAAGCCAATCACAGTGCGACACATGTCAACATCAGAAGCCAATCACAACACGACACGTGTCAATGTTAGAACAAAACTAGAAACTCTCTTCTATAAATAGGGATCATTCTCCCACAATAATCTCTAATGTCATTTTGTACTAAACTATTCACTAGAATTCACAAAATGAGAGCTTGAACCTATGTATTTGTGTAAACCCTTCACAATTAATGAGAACTCCTCTACTCCGTGGACGTAGCCGATTTGGGTGAACCACGTACATCTTGTGTTTGCTTCCCTGTCCCTATTCATTTACGTACTTATCTTCCCTAGTGATCGAAGCAACCAAGCGAAGGTCACAAACCTGACACTTTCTGTTGTACCAAAGTCCTCGCTGATTTTGTGCATCAACATTATATACTTTTCATGTGGGATAACTAGATCCTAACATTCCACCACGCTTATGTATCCAATATTCTTGTTGGCTCATGCAACTTACACGTTAGGATCTAATTCTCCCACATGAATAATGTGTGTGTTTATTACACATTCTGTTTCAATGAGTAATGTGTGCGTGACACACCACGATCCCGATGTCCGAGGGACATCGGGATGACCACGTGCTAGCCGACATCCAAGGGTGACGCAAGCCATTTAATGAATGCATATGCTGAGAACATGTAAATCATGCGTATAAATTTCGTTCGAACTACATAAAATAATATACTAATATTCAACTGCCAACAATGATAAAGATAGTGATAGTGCATGACATGTTCAGAGCATACATATAATTCAGAATACAACGGAAGGTGCTATTACAATGATGTCAAAGCAAAGATGAAGGCACGATATCACTGGTAGGGGAATGCCTCGTAGCTCGAATTGTAAGCCTCGTTCCTATGTCCTAAAGGGGCGCAAACAAACATGAGTGGACCAAGTTGATATATATATATATATATATATATATATATATTACTGAAACAGTTATTCAACAGCGTACTAACCCCCAAAGTTTTATGGAAATTTAATAGCATATTATGTAATAGGTTTTCTGAAAACCCTAGCATGCCATAAAACCTTCATAAACCATACATCATATATAGTGTGTTAAATAGTGGTATCAAATCGCCCATAGGCACTATATTTCTCGACCTGAAGCCATTGCATATATCTCTCGGCCTGAAGCCATCTACATATATCTCCTTCGCCTCGAAGCCATCTACATATATCTCCCTCGGCCCAAAGCCAAAACAATGACCATTAGACACGCACAAAACATTGAATATAATCTTTCCAACATAAGTACATATATCTCAAAAACTTCTTCATAGTATACAGTCATCCATCATATATACTATAAATAAGTGTAAAAACATGTTCATAAATAGTATATAGTCATTCATCATATATACTACAAAGAACAATAGTTCGATAAAGTATGGTATTCCAAAATATTCTCAGTAAAGCATGATAATCATATAATGTAAATCCAATTTACTTATAAAACGTTACCATTAAATCATGATTTTCATGTATGCATTTCTACTATTAAAACATGCATTTTAGAAGGGATCCACTCATAGATACTCTGTCATCGAAGAGTCGTACGAAATAGGAAAGACGGAATCGCCTCTAATAATTGCACCTAAGCAAATAAAGGGTCCAATTAATAAAACTATACTCAAACGATACGGATGTCATAAACGGATTCAAGACGTCGAAAAACATCAAGGGGGACTTCAAGTACCCCCACGCGCTGCCACACGTTGTCGTGGGTCACCGAGAAAGTTGGTCAAAAAATTCGTCGGCACCGTCGTGACACGCGCCAGTACAGAAGGCCCTTCACACGCAGGCCCACGCACCTTCACGCACGGCCTGGGGTTCCTGGGTTCTCTAGGTTGGGCTAAATGGTTTATGGGCTTAAGGGTTTAGGCCTCATGGGCCTAGGGTTAACGGGCCAAAGGCCCGGTTCTCATGGCGGGTTTTGGGTTTGGGTTCTATTAGGCCTTGGGCTTGAAAGCCCAGCCCAAGATAAATGGTTTTGGGGTTTAAATAAAAGGGGTTTGGGTTTAGGGCTAAACGGCTGGAGGCCCGAATTGGCGAAGCCCGAAGGCCTTAGTCCAAAAAGGTTTGGGTTTGTAAATGGGTTAGGCTTTGTAGACCAGCCCAAAACTCTGGAATAGGGGACTTGGGCTTCTAGGTTTGGGTCAACCGACCCGTTTCTCACCGAGGAAGAAGGTCAGAGCCTTCCGAGCTCCAGTCAACGTCGATTGGCCACCCGACCTTTTGATCTAACTATCAAAACGAAGGTAGAGAGGAGAGGGAGAGATAAGTACCTGAGATTCGTCATAAAATGGCAGGAGGTGGCCAGATCTTTGCTCGAAACCCACGGGGCTCACCAGAGTCTCTAAGCTCTGCACCAATTCCCTTGGTGCTTAACAGAGGTGATAGAGAGAGAGAGAGAGAGAGAGAGAGAAGCCTCGCGAGGTTGGTGAAGGTGTGATCGTCGCCGGTGGGTATGGGTGTGCGAATGGGTGCGTGTGTGTAAATCGGGGAGAGTGAGAGAGTTTGTCCGAGAGAGGGAGAGAGAGTGAGTGAGTTGAGAGAGGGTTCGGGGAGAAGAGAGAGAATGAAGGAGTGAGTTAGGGTGGTGCCACGTGGCAAGTAGAGAGAGGAGGAGAATCTAAAAAGAGGATCTGGATTGGGTAAGGATAGGGGACAAGATCATCATTTCATAAATTGTTAAAATAAAATGTAAAATTTACAATTTATTTGGGGGTAGGGTTTCACAGTGCGTTTGTTTATTTTATTTCAAATTTTTTTTATAAATTTTGAATTTTTTATTGGTTTCGAAATTCTTTGATTTTCTCTAATGGAGAAAAAAAGTTTGAGTGAAAAAAAAAATGATTTACAAATATTCTTTTCAAACAAGCACTCAACCTATTGAAATTGTCACATCTGGTAAGCCCTAATTAAATTTATGTTAAATAACTATGCTTATTTTGTCTTCAAAACCAATAAAAGGTCATAGAAGCATGGCTTCCACCTACTACCACCACCTCCCCCATCAGGCCATCACCTCCAAACCCAATGCACAACCACCAACTCCACCTTACAATTCAGTCGACCAACACTGAGAAGAAGGTCATGAGGTTGCTGAAATGGTATGGACTGCCATGATGCAGCCACAACCATCTTCACGACTCACTTGATATTCCCGATCTTCTTCTTTTTTTTCATTTTATTTGTGAATTTGTTTATTTATTTCATCTTCATGTCTTTTTTATAAAGTTATTTTTATTATTATTTTAATGTCCAAGTAAGCTAAAAAGTGGGTCCCCTTGTTGCCATTGTACATTTAACAGAAAAATGAACTGAGGCTCAATAGATGTGACCGTTTTAATAGGTTAGGTATTTGTTTGGAATGTTTAAAAAGATTGAGACCAATTTGATGTCCAAGTAAGCTAAAAAGTGGGTCCCCTTGTTGCCATTGTACATTTAACAAAAAAATGAACTGAGGCTCAATAGATGTGACCGTTTTAATAGGTTAGGTATTTGTTTGGAATGTTTAAAAAGATTGAGACCAATTTGGAATGGCGCTAAAATGTTACATGTTTTAGGTACTGAATCCTTGATATAATGAATATATTTATACTATGGAGTGGAGAGAATCATTTATGAGATTCAAACTTAGGACGTAACTTACAAGTGAAGATGAATATCAATAGACCACTAAACCATAGTACTAAGTGGCATATGCATTATAAAATCAACAACATTTCATTTCTTTCATGTATGAATTTAAAATTGGGTCTTTTAATATAGTTTACCCATGTTGATTATATTTAATGTGACCGTGGGGCGTTTATGTCACATCCCGAGCCGGGTCCACCACATCCCGAGCCCGTTCCACCATCATCGTAGCACGATATCATCCGCTTTGGGCTTACCATTCCCTCACGGTTTTGTTTTTGGGAACTCACGAGCAACTTCCCAGTGGGTCACCCATCCTGGGAGTGCTTTGGCCTCCTACTCGCTTAACTTCGGAGTTCCTACGGAACCCGAAGCCAGTAAGCTCCTAAAAAGCCTCATGCTAGGTAGGAATGTGAACATACATTTAAAAATCACTCCCTGGACGATGTGGATGTTACAGTTTACTTCTCTTTGACGCACAGAAAAATTTACACCGCAACATCCCCAAAGGTTGAAAGGGAATTGTTTCTACAGGTCGGAAGTTCGAGTGCCCCATGCCCATGATACGGGAAAATGAAAAAACCGAAAAGGTTACAAGGGCGTTCATAACGACGGTGGTGTGGAGGAGAAGGAGAGAGATTCGGATCCAAACAAACAGCGATCAAACATTAAAATGACGAGTGAAAGCGAAATGGCAAAAAATAACTGCCAAAAGCACTTTTCATTGCGAAAAAGAAACGACTGTACAGTATATAATGTATCAAGAAAAACTCATCATCTCATACGACCATTTACCACTTCCCCCTTCCATGAGATCTTTTAACAAGATTGATATTATCTACACGGTGATACCTTAAAGAACGAGGCTCTTTAACCAAATCCAAACCCTTCGTTGGCCTCGTGAATCGCAAGAAGCAATCTCTCCTCGAGATGTTGTTTAGAAGGATACTCCGGTAGATCCAACTGGTTGAAGCTGCACAAATAAGTAAATTTCTTCAATAAGCTGCGCACTCGCGATTGGATAAACATAATTTGGAGGCTAGAAGTTAAGCGAAAAGTTTCAAACGGCATATGATAACTCAAACAGATAACTATTCAAGAAAAAATGACATGAGAGTCGAAGTTACCAAGTATGTGCAGATGGCAAGTGGTCTGCACTTCCATATGCCTTGTGTATCTGAAATTTCTGTGAGCCCGAGATCCCTTGAAGTGCACTAAAACCTTCTAAAGGCACCTGAACAATACGGAGCAGCAATGCTCAGACCACATCTTATACAAGCAATATAGTAGATATCATAATACATCGTGAAATTATGTCGAATGTAAAAGGAAGTCATGTATAATAAATAAGAAAACAAGATATCACTAGCACGGGATACAGGAACAATTTAACTTGTACAAGACCCATGCATTCAAAAACCTTTCCACATGTTCAGATTTTGCTATGCCATGAATATAACCACTTGAACATCACCACCGCATTTTTTAATTCCAAAGCCGGCTTCCAAAATAATTCTACGGTACGACTTAAACAAAAGGGGAAAAAAAGCATGAAGCAGTAATAAATTTATGAATGTTTTCTCTCAATTACATCCCAGTTCAAGAGTAAACGAAGAAAACAAGTGCAAACTAATACCTTAGAGGTGCCAGTTACAAACTGCAATAGACGGGCTTTATCCTCCTTGCTAAAACCTTGGGCAACCTCCCAAAACCACTGAATGACAGGGGACGCAGGGCTGTATCCAGAATATTCGGTATTTGCCCTCATGTCATCCACTGAAATACATGGAAAAATAAATCTTTATGAGAATGCATGTCCTGTTAAAGGTAGAGAAGAGGGGAAATGGAGTTGACATGGGAACTCACAATCAATATCTGGAAGCCCACTGATCAAAAGTTCCAGTTCCTTGTCGTTAAAAATAGATATTAATTCCTTTGCAACTAGTTCAGTGAATCCTTTCATAAAAGCATTTATCTGAGGACGAATAGCGGTTGTTAACCGATGCCCCGCAACTAAATCAACATACTGGTGCTTATTTTCTTCCGTAACTTTGATGTTCCGGCCACCAGGAATCAGTTCATAGTCTGTTACCTGCATTATGTTCAACAAAATTAGTATAATAAATGTAGTCCTTAAAAACAGAATATTTAGTTCATCAGGGTAACGGTTCATTACTTCTGTCCTTTCGTATAATATCAGCTTTTCCTCATCAGCATCAATGCTGAAAGTAAGGTCCAGTACATCACTAATATCATTCTGTAAAACGATCGCCAAGCAAGGAGTAGGAGAAAGAGAGTCAATAACTTAATTAAAAAATGAAAGCGAGAAAGTGAAAGTGAGAGTAAGTGCAAGAGAATGTAGGGAAGTTGCTAGATTTCTACATACCTCAAGCATCCACTTGAGGTTTTTAAAGTAATCAGGATCGATGGCCTCTATATCATGATAAGTGACCTTTGCCTCCAAAATATGCTTGTAGAAAGATCGAGTAAAATGAACATCCAATAACTGGCCATCAAAGAGTGCTTTCCCAACCTGTAAAAGATACGTAGATAAAACTTCTAGCAAAACAACTCAATCCAACAAGAGCAACTAAACAACTCTGGTACTCACCACTCGCCCAACAAACTTGAAATACGAAAGATGTTCTGTTTGGTAAACAGAGTTCGGATTCGGTTGAAATGTTGATTCATTGCCCACAGTTGTAAATAGTAGTGCTCCCTTGTCAAAAATAACCCTGGACAACAACTGATACCATTCTCTAGTAAGTCCACCTGCATCAATACCTTCCTCTCCTTGAAAGTGAACCGTCAATCTCCCCTTCAAATCTTGAGTTGATCGCATGCGAAGCTGGTTATATGAATCTTCAAGTATGTATGCTCTTCTTACTGAAATTCTCAAAGGATTATGATGGTGATCATGCTGATGCTTTATTTTTGATCTGAAGTGAGCACGCTTGTTGTCGAAATCGATAAAGCGTGGAACCTTAAGCATGAGTGAGAAAGACTTTTCTAACAAACCAGGATTTTGACGAATAAAAGCATTTAGCAATTTCCTATGTTTCTCTGAGAACTTCAGAAAAGCAACATGTTTTTCATCAACTTTCAAAGAGGAACCTGAGGTTTTCTGGTGGCCAGCAGATGTACTGGCATCTTCAACCTCAGAAACTGCAGCAACACCAAAGTCATTACCAGGGCCTGGCTGCCCAGGATGCAATTTCTCACAAACCACAAAGAAAGATTCTATGTATGGTAAGATGTTTTGGGTGCCGGCAGGCAGCGGAGGAATTACACCAGATGGCTTAGATGTAGAAGCTCGATATGAAGTCATTGTATCAGGGGCAGATTCTGAATGGCTCTCTATCTTACTTATGCAAGTGCTCAGCTCCAGCCACAAAGGTTCCAAAGCCGCATTTATGTCCCAAACTTGAGAAAGAGAAAGAGTATGCTCCTTTTCTGCAAGAATCTGTGCGTCCTTCTCTTTCTCCATCAGAGAAGCAACAAGGGAACTTAATGCCTGCAGAACTCTTAAGATTGCAGCTCCAACAGAAGACATGGTACTGAGGAGTGCTGTCACTGTTTCACCAAATGTGTGCAACTCATTCATAGCAGCTCTAGTCAAATTTCTAACAGCCTCTGCTAGCTCAGTAATAAACAGGTTTGAATGGGTAGGAACAATTGCCACCAACTTCTTCATTACCTCCGCTACAAGAGTATATGCATTATCTGACAATCTGGATTGAAAACAAAAAATGTCAGCAACCAAGATATGCGTAACTGCAATTTACATAAGACTAACCTTGTAATCAACATAAGTGTTACAATGAAGGAGCAGCATAAGACAATACAAGTATCTCCAGAAAAGTGGTCTTAGTTAATACATTGTTATTGAAAAAGAGACAATAATTATAAAATAAAATAAAGATGAACAAAGAGATTGGACAGACAAAACACAGCCATCTCCTAAACGCCCTAACATTAACCATGAAGCAGGCCCTTCC